CTTAGTATTGCTCTCCACCAGGAGCAGTCACCTCCACTGAGCCACAGCAGGAAAACAAATGTGACTTTCTTGCAAACCACCAACTGGGACAGCAGCGGAGAAAAGCCTGTCTTACAAGCTGCAGAAAGTATGCACAAACCTGAACTATTACCGGACCTGGGAAGGCCCAGAGAGATATCAATACGGAAGTACTTTAGAAAGTCTTTCAGGCAGCGAAGTTGGGGTGTGGTGGGTTAAGCTGCCACCTGTGATGTTGGTATCCCATAAGGGAACTAGTTTAAGTCTCAGCTGCTCCAGTTTTGATCCAGCTCCCTGCTTATGAGCCAGGGAAGGCAGTAGGGGGATGGCCTAAGTGACATGGGAGACCCAGATGGGCTTCCAGGCTCCTGGTTTCAGTCTGGCACGGCGTTGACCATTAAGGTACTGGGGGAGAAAGCCAGCACTTTGCTCCCTCGCTCTCTCTCACTTTCTGTCTGTGACGCTACCTTTCAAAAAGTAAGTAAATCTATTTTTTAATTTTTTAAGGTTTATTTTTTAATTGGAAAGTCAGATATTCAAAGAGGAGGAAAGACAGAGAGAAAGATCTTCCATCTGATGATTCACTCCCCAAGTGGCCACAATGGTTAGAACTGAACCAATCTGAAGCCAGGAGCCAGCAGCCTCTTCCAGGTCTCCCATGTGGGAGCAGTGTCTCAAGGCTTTGGGCCGTCCTCGACTGCTTTCCCAGGCCACAAGCAGGGAGCTGGATGGGAAGCAGGGCCTACCAGGGTTAGAAGCGGCATCCATGTGGGATCCTGGGCCCAAATATATTTTTTAATTTATTTGTGTTCACTATGAACAATACAGACCTATCTTTCACTTCAATTTGTATGTCAACCTGTAGATACTGGCTGAATGTGCAGCAATTGGATCAGCTAATATAATGTATAGTAAATGTCTCTTTCCTCTTCCATCCTCCTTCATCCTAAACCTAAAATTGCATGATATGCCATTCTAGTCCTCTAAAATATTTAAAATGAAGTTAGAAAATAAGAGAATTTAATATGGGTTTTCATTTCTATAATGATTCAGATACAAACTCAGCATCATATAGAAGACTCTAGGCAATAATAACTGAGGCCAAAGCATAAATACAACCCAGTTTCCAATGCTATGATTAATAAAATATGTTTTAGCATAAAACATATTTTATATGTTTTAGCTAAAAATATGCATTAAGAATATTTGGCTTCCCAAGTAACACATTTTCATGAATTTTTAAAAAAGATTTGTTTTATTCCATGTCAGCCAGGGGATTCTGGGAAGATTTCATCAAGCTTGGAATGGCGAGATTGGCAGCAATTCAGAAGTGTTAAAGACCAAAACCACTTGAGCAGGACCCACCGAGCATGCTCCACACTGGGGACCTGGGAGGGGTGGGAGGCTGGGTGGGGCTTCTTTTATTTCTCCCCTTACCCCAAATACATACATACATAAGCAAATAAATAGAGAATGTGGAAACAATGGTCTTACCCACTTTCCTGTAGCCCTTGACCCTTTGTGCCCTAATCAACTATATAAAGATCATCAAAATAAAATAACTGCAAATTAATTTATTAATTAAAGATTTGTTTTATTCATTTAAAAGACAATGTTAGAGAGAGACAAAGAAGTGGAAAGGGACAGAAAGAAAGAAAGATCTTGCATGTACAGCTTCACTCCCCAGATGGCCACAGTGGGGCTAGGAGCCAGGAGCTCCTATCACGTGAGTGCAGGGCACTTGGACCACCTTCTGCTGCTTCCCCAGGAAACTGAATTGGAAGTACAGCAGCCAGGACTCAACCCAGTACCTACCCACAGAGGATACAGGCCAGGACTCAACCCAGTACTTACCCACAGAGGATACAGGCCAGGACTCAACCCAGTACTTACCCACAGAGGATACAGGCCAGGACTCAACCCAGTTCCCACCCACAGAGGGTACAGGCCAGGACTCAACCCAGTTCCCACCCACAGAGGATACAGGCCAGGACTCAACCCGTACCCACCCATAGGATACAGGCCAGGACTCAACCCAGTTCCCAACCACAGAGGATACAGGCCAGGCCTCAACCCAGTTCCCACCCACAGAGGGTACAGGCCAGGACTCAACCCAGTTCCCACCCACAGATGATACAGGCCAGGACTCAACCCAGTACCCACCCACAGATGATACAGGCCAGGACTCAACCCAGCATCCACCCATAGGATACAGGCCAGGACTCAACCCAGTTCCCGCCCACAGAGGGTACAGGCACCACATGCAGCAGCTTTACCAGCAACACCACAGCACCTAATTTTGATAAACAGTTTATCTTCCATGAACTGCTGCTGTGAGCACTCTTCAACAAGGTAAAATCATAGGTAAACATGAGATATCTGCAGAGCTCATCAATTTACCAAGTTTTAAATTTCCATGGCAAGAAAAACAGCAGCAGGTCAAGCTGCCCCAGTTCAAGCAATAGTTTAAATCGCCGTGCAAAGCTGGAACTCAAGGACCAGATCTTAGTTTCAAGCTTGGCTCACTCACATTTTTTCTAGGTATTTAAATCATGCGGTATCATCTTCGGCTACATACCCTCAGGTGACAGTGATAGGAACAGGAACATTTCTTCATCACAATATTCTGATCGAGCCTGTGTGGTGGCCTAGCCACTAAAGGACCTCACCTTACATGCACTTACATCCCATTTGGATGCTGGTTCTAATCCCCGCAGCCCCACTTCCCATCCAGCTCCCCGCTTGTGGCCTGGGAAAGCAGTCAAGGATAGCCCAAAACCTTGGGACTATGCAACTGCATGGAAACTCAGAAGAAGCTCCCGGCTCCTGGCTTCAGATCAGGGCAGCGCAGTTCCAGCCATTGCAGTCTTCCTCCCTGTCTCTCCTCCTTTCTGTATATCTGCCTTTCCAATAAAAATAAATAAATCTTTCAAAAAAAAAGGATTCCAATCATGTGGCTCAAGAAACATCCTATCTATCTAAATATCAGTTAAGCCACGTTTAAAAAACACATTTATTTATTTATTGGAAAGGCAGATATACAGAGAGGAGAGACAGAGAGGAAGATCTTCCATCCGATGATTCACTCCCCAAGTGAGCGCAATGGCCAATGCTATGCCGATCCGAAGCCAGGAGCCTCTTCCGGGTCTCCCACGTGGGTGCAGAGTCCCAAAGCTTTGGGCCGTCCTCGACTGCTTTCCCTGGCTACAGGCAGGGAGTTGGATGGGAAGCGGGGCTGCCAGGATCAGAACCGGTGCCCATATGGGATCCCGGGCGTGCAAGGTGAAGACCTTAACCACTGCACCATCGCTCCGGGCCCTAAAACACATTTAACAGATATTCCGTGAAATGTATCAAGACAAAACTGACTTAAATTGACCACTGGAACCTGGTAATGCATTTTCTCTGTTTATACAATGGGCCCTACCATAGCCAAAGGGTCAAGTCCTTCACAAGATAGCTTTGTTGAAAAATCACAATATGTGTATAACTGTGGGAATATAAAGCTTTTAAAATTATTTTAATGGCATTTTTTTCTGATTCTAGAAACAACTTCCTATTTGCCATGGGAAAATGCAGACCAGTAGAAAAGAAACAATTTTTTTCTCCAGTTACCTTGCCACTCCTGGCACCTGTTTACCTGCTACCTATTTCTGCTCCCTTACCTGGTTCCTCCTTCTAGTTCCTTGATTCCTGGGGCCTATGTATGTTAGGTACATAGGGTGCTAAAAGGATGCACTGATTCTCATTGAGGTTAAATCATATCCAACTAGGTTATAACAAGCCTAGCTCAACAACAGCTGACATACATTCTTTGGGTTAAGGGGGTAAAGCTTTGTGCTATATATATTCTCCATGTTCTATCACAAGATTTTTATTAATAACTTTTTAAAAAGATTTTTATTTATTTTTACTGGAAAGTCATATATACAAAGAGGAAGAGAGACAGAGAGAAAGATCTTCCATCTGATGATTCACTCCCCAAGTGACTGCAATGGCTAGAGCTGCGCTGATCTGAAGCTAGGAGCCAGGAGTTTCTCCCAGGTCTCCCACAGGAGTGCAGGGTCCCAAGGCTTTGGGTCATCCTCCACTGCTTTCCCAAGCCACAATCAGGGAGTTGGATGGAAAGCTGGGCTGCGGGGATTAGAACCAGCATCCATGTGGGATTCCAGCCACTAGGCCACTGAGCCGGACCCAGGAATTTTTTTTAATTCAGCTCTGAACTTAGTCTGTCATTGTCACAGAGAATGTGGTTCTCTCACCAGATGTTAGTCCAGCAAGAGGTTTGTCTCGTGCCTATTTTATGGTGAAGACTGTTGGCTTTGAAACTACTTCTGAGGGGCCAGCACTGTGGCACAACACATTAAGTCCCTACCTGTGATACAAGCACACATTCCAGTCCCATCTGCTCCACTCCCTATTCAGTTCTCTGCTAATGTGCCTGGGAAAGTGATGCAAGAGAGCTCAAGTCCTTGGGTTACCTGCCGCCCACAAGGGAGACCCAGATGCAATTCTAGGCTGCTGACCTCTGACTGACCCAGCTCTGGCTAGAGCAGCTAGTTGGGGAGTAAAATGGCAGATTAAAGATTCTCTCTCTGTAACTCTGCCATTCAAACATACACAATTTAATAAACAAAGAAATAAATCTTGGACCAAGTAGCTAGGAGAGGATTTTTTAATTTCATTGAAAAACTGAAGTATATTGATAAATGGTGACAGATTCGTTTCTCCAATGAAGAGTTCACTGCAAAGAAAAAAGCCATCTCGAATCCGCTGATGAATATGGTACTCAATCAGCGGAGTTTCCTGGGTATTCAATAACTGAAGACCACAACTCAGTATGGCTCATAAAAGGAAAATCATGAAGAAGCTGTTTGCTTTGACCCAAAAGTTAAATGACCAAGTGGCCAGAAACAGAGACCATGAAAAAAGCACAAACATAGAAAACAAGGGACTAAAGGTGGGAGAACAAGCCAATTTACCTAGGAAGAATGCACATTTCACACGTGCATGAGGCCAAAGAAACACTTCTCTCAGCCAAAAATGGATGAGGCAGAAAAAACAGAGAGGGTCCCCGGACAAGCAGATGAATGAAACACACTGCACACATGCATTCTCAAAGTGAGTGGTTACTACAAAAATAAATCTCTCTGTAGAAACATTGATGTCAGAGGGGGACTGAGTTACAGGTGGGAGCAGCAAGTGCCTTCTGCAGCAGTCAGCTCAGCCACCAACTGGGATGTCCACATCCTATGCTGGGTTCCTGCGTTGGAGTCCCAGCCCTGCTGATTCCAGCTTCCTGCTAATGCCCACTGGAGAGGCAGCAGGTGATGGCCGAAGCACCTGGTTCCCAGACACCTACCTGGGAGACCTGGCCTGACTTGCCAGCCCCTCTGGGGCATTTGAGCAGTGACCTAGGAGATGAAAGAGAAGTCCATCCATCAATTTCTCCCTCTGCATCTGAAACAAAGTTTAATATAAAAGAACAAACAAGACATATTGGTAGAACACACACAGGTTCTGAACCACAGTTTGTGGAAGGGAGCAAACTATATTTGAGTGCACAAATGTAGAGGGGAATAAAAAAAAACAGTAAACTATTGGTTATCTCTAGGGAAATGAACTAAAAACTGGATGGGAGGGACGCTGTATTTACCCTCGCATGAGTCTGAGTCCAGGTAATTCTAATAAAAACGGTCACAAAAAGCAGCGTGAAACTGGCCCTGTCAAACAGCTACTGAGCGGACCCAATGCAGAGAAGCTCAGCTGATGCTGGTAGGATTATACTTCCAGCTAAGAACACGGGTTTAATTAATCTTTGGGGCTCAGTACAATAGAAATAGCGAGACTTCCATTCCGGGGATCCCTCCCTGGAGTTCCTTCCTGGGATTTAAAAAGAAACAAGAGTCGCAGTACCTGCAGTGCCTAGGGGGCTCCACTGGAGGGGCAAACAGCGGGAGACCTAATCCTTCCCGCCCAGGTAGTTGAAGGTAGCACAGACCTCCGGGAAAGGGTGGGAAGCAGGGAGCGGAGTGGGGGGTGGGCGAGCTCTACCCGGAGAACTGGGGCTGGTGGTGAGAGAGGACAGCTAGCTACTCACACCGGAGCCGCCGGCCGCCGGTTCTTCTGGCCGGTTCGCGCGGCAGGACGACTCCCACCCTCGCCGCACACGCTGGCGACCACGGCTGAAGCAAACCAGCATACCAGAAACGGGTCTGACCAGAACAGAAACTAGGAAGAGGCTTTGCATGCTGCAACCTGCTGCCTCGGGAGGCTGGGTCCGGAAACCTCCGCCTGCTTGTGAAGCCACGTACTCCTCCTCCGCGCAGCCCCACCGGGTGACGCGGTTGCCCAGAAGAGGCGCCCAGATCTGGCCAAACTAGACACTCCCCGATTCCCACGCCCTGGCGTAGGAGACCCACGTGGCCGTGCGCGTGCGCCTCTCGGTGTCCAAATTCCCCTGTGTAGTCAGGGGACTTAGGTGGCACTCAGGGAAGCTTCATTGTGATCTACAGGCCACCCAGACAGTGCGTGTCACAGACTGGCCAACTAACTTCCTTTTCGGGTTCCTTGAGGCGTTCTGACAAAGTTTTTTTAAAAAAAGAGAAAAGTTCCCCGTGACTTTCCAGGCCAGGTCTGCCAGACTTTCAACCAGCAGGTGGATTCACCTGGGAAAGAGCTTTTGGGAAGAGGGCTCACAGGTCGGTTGCAAACAAAAACGGAAAGCACACACACGTGCTCAGAAAAGAGCATAGGACCCATAACTCCGAAAGGTGTAAATAAAGCAAGTACAACCAAAACATGCGGCAGGAACATTCAAAATCCCCTTTCTAGTGGCTTTTTTTTTTTTTTTTAATTTTGTACTTGAGCCAAGAAATTTGTTCCACGGAACTGTTTGGTAAGATGGTCTCGGGGAACCATCAGAGGAGGGGGTAATACTCAAAGTTCCATTGCTCTCCTCTGCGACCTGTTTTCTAAAGCACACCAAGCATGCCAGAGCCAGGGTGGTGGGGAGCCGGGGTTGCACCCCAGCGACGCAAGCCACTCAGGCCACGGTGCGCAGCTGCTCAGGGTGCAGGTGTCAGCAAGGCCTGGGAGGGCGTCCTCGTCTGGCAGGTTCATTAGCCTGGAGTGTCAGCTGCCTTTGTTCTACTGCAACACAGGAGAATGACAGAGTAAAACTAACAGCGGGCGAATGCCCTGTGCCGGGCGTCTCAGATAAACCTGGGTCAGAGACCGGCAGACAAGAACATCTTGAAACCACATTGCATTTCTTTGTCCTTTTAACGGGGATTGGAAAAGGGGAGGGGACGAGGGGAGTGGCAAGAGCAGCCTTAAAATAAGGCTTTGAAAACGTATTGCCAAATATCCCCAACTTCCCCATAACTTGACAAAGTCCACAGGAAACTCTCTGGGAAACACCCTGTCGCAAAACAACAGGACTCTGGCTAGGGTCAGGGCAAAGGTAAGAGCCTGCCTGGCTAATTTAGAGCTAACAACAACTACAGTGAAAACTTTTTTCCTTTTCACTTCTGCAAGGAACCCTGGTGCAAGAGCTCCAACAGTCCACCCCAGGGGCAGATCAAGGCTCGGGGTAACCCCAAACTAATCCCGCAGAGGATCTGGTTCATCTCCCTCGCAGCCCCACAGCCCACCAGCGTCTGGGAATCAGGGCTGGGGGCGGGGGCTAGGGCCCGGGCGCTCCGCCCAACCTGGTGCCTAAGGGGCAAACCATAGGTAAGGCATCCTCAGGGTTGCACAACCTTGCGGCCTGCCCACCCCTACCCAGCTGCCCGCCCCACAGCGCCCGTCAGGGAACCTGTCTCCGGGAGCTGCCTGCTTGCCAGGGACCAGACGCCCCAGAAGAGCTAGCAAGATGGAGTCGAGGAAGTGAAACTTTGTAGGCAGCTGTGGGAGTTGGCGAGGGTGATCTGCTGAGCCTCCCTGCCCACTCGTGCACTGTGATCTAGGCTGGCCCTCCCAAAGTCTCACCCTTGTCTGAGGCAGGGTTCAGGTGCAGAGACCCCCTCCCCTCCAAACACACACATACGCACTCACACTCACCGGCCCCGGAGTCCCTGCTGGGCGCTGGCTCTCTCAGGAAGGCTGCCGCCCCAGCTTCCTGTTGACAAACCGTTGACTGGCTGGGTGGCGCCGATCCAAGCCAGTCAAGGGCTTAGTGTCCAAGGGCGAAGACAAAAGCTTTGTTCTGCTTTTCAGCGTTTTCTTAGGATTTTTTTTTCAGAAGAACTTAATTTTTCTCCAACGTTTACACTTGCAAAATAATAATAATAATAATAATAATAATAATAATAATAATAATACATAAAGCTTAGCTGCCAAGACAGAGCTGGAAAGGTGACTCCAGGTAAAAACTATCTGAAAATAAACGCAGGGGCTGGACCCAGCACGGTAGCCTAGCAGCTAAAGTCTTCACCTTGCACGCTCTGGAATCCCATGTGAGCGCCGGTTCTAATCCCAGCAGCCCTGCTTCCCATCCAGCTCCATGCTTGTGTCCTGGGAAAGCAGTGGAAGACTGCTCAAAGCCTTGGGACCCGGCACCTGTGTGGGGGACTCAGAAGAGGCTCCTGGCTCCTGGCTTCAGATCAACTCAGCTCCTGCCTTTGCTGCCACTTGTATTTTTCTTCTCTCTCTCTCCTCTCTCTCTCTATATATGACTTTGCAACAAAAAAATAAGCAAATATTTAAAAAGTAGTAAATAAATAAACACACATACCTGGAAAAGGTTCCGGGGGCCAAAAAAAACACGTCAGTTCAGAAAAATCCTTATCAAAAAAGGCTATGGGGGAAATGCCAGAGTCAGGTAAGCTTTTACAGCAACACCTCTCCCGGCTCTGCTCAGAAACTCCAGACTCTGCAGTCACAGCACAGAATTTCTCAGCTTCCCAGTCCGGAGCAGGATCTCAGGGCTCCCACCCTCCCCTGGCGCTGGAGAAATCGGGATCCTAATCTCTTCCCAGAGGAAATGACATCTCTCGAAAAATTAACCAAAGGAAGTTCAAGCCCAACTGGCTCCACTACAAAAATCCTGGGGGTGGTGGCCATAGCCTGTTCCAAACACATTCAAAATAGCGTTGGCCCTGCTTCTCTTTGAATTCCACATCTACGGAGCGAAACAGGGGCTGGAAATATTCAGGGGATGTATCCATGCCTGTGCTGAATGTGTAGACTTTCTTTGTTGTCATGATTCCCTAAATAACACAGTGTAGGCCTGGCATCCAAAGCGTGCACATCATATTAGCTAGACTATGCAATTCTAGTTGTAAGCAGTCTGGAAATGATGTAAACCATGCATGCATAGGCTGAATATAAATACGATGCCATTTAACAAAGCAGTTTGGTCATATGCAGATTATAATATGCACAGGGAGTCAGGGAAGCAATCCGCTATGCATGTCCCAGGCGGGACCGTAGGGCCTGAACTGGTTAGTTTGAAGGAAAGAAAGCGGAGAGGAAGACAGCTGAGAACAGGGGCTGCCTTGTGGTGCAGCACATTACCCCGCTTCTCACCCAGCTTCGTACTGTGCCTTGGGAAAGCAACAGATAATAACCCACGTACATGGGCCGCTGCCACCTGTACGGGAGACACAGTCATTTAGCAGCAAACCAACAGATGGAAGAACTCTATCTCATCTTTCCCTCTGTGTCTGTGGCTTTGCCTTTCAAATAAATAATATGGCTTTTTTAAAAAAAAAAAAAAGATAGTTCAGGGGAATGCTTCTTGGGTAAGAAAAAATAAATTATTCCTTCATAGGAGTCAAAACTCAGTGTGATTTATTTATGTGGTGATTTCCATCTAGGGACTGTTGACAATAGAAGAGTCAGCCAACAGTTAGTGGAGTTTTACAACTGGAGGTCGATCAGGGAACCACGGGGAGAGAGCTAGCTGGAAAACATACCTACCCCAGGGGGACAGCTTAAGAAATGAATACGCGTATGGTGGTGGGGATGTGCAGTGATTTCAGTCAAGTAATTCAGTCAGTCAATAAACAAGCAAAAACAAATGTTCCTCGACTTACAATGGAGTTTTGCTTAAAAGAAAAACAGCAAAAGTTGAAAATATCAGTAGTCAGAATGATCTAACTTACCAACCATAACTTCTCAGCTACCAACCAGCTTAACAAGCACTCCTTAGCCCACAACAGTCATGAGCCATTTCTGGATCCCTTTATTTATTTATTTATTTATTTATTTTTAAAAGACTTACTTTTATTGGAAAGGCACATATACAGAGAGGAGGAGAGACAGAGAGGAAGAGCTTCTGTCCAATGATTCACTCCCCAAGAGGCTTCAACGGCTGTACCTGAGCAAATCTGAAGCCAGGAGCCTCCTCCGGGTCTCCCACGTGGGTGCAGGTTCCCAAGGCTTTGGGCCATCTTCGACTGCTTTTCCAGGCCACAAGCAGGGAGCTGGATGGGAAGCAGGGTTGCCGAC